TTATCTGATAACTCTGAAACGGATGTGGTGTAATAAGCTTTAATTTTAGTAGATCATTTCCCAGAACATTTGAATTTTGTAAGAGGAGATAACACAGACTAAGGCATAAGATTTTGTATTTCCTGTCAGTGATATATATTTTTTTATCGTGTAAAAGAAATTTATACGAGAGAAAAAAACTAATCACATGAGGATTATTATAAAAAGTCGTTTAATCTTTACATAAATTAACAGTAACAAAGCTTATTATCATCATCATTATGTAAACGCTGTATGAATAAACGGGAATGTGGGTTATGCATAACTGGGACAGCAATCCGACGACGAAAAAAAATAAAAAAACATGGTGAGGGTAACACATTAAACATAATTCATCAAAGAATTGTCATTAAAATCGAATTCTTAAAAATAACGAAAAACATTAAGTTATGACAATTACCGACGAGGTTCCTGACTTGGAACAGATACACGGAAATTTGATTGCCACAATATTATGTTGTATATATTAAGAAACAACATAGATAGATAGATATATTCTTAAATATGGTTCATCAAAAAAATTCTGACAGATTTTGTTTTTTTTATCCAAAAATTTGCATAAAATCCTAACAAAACATGTAGAATAGGCAAAACTGTATTCAAGTGTACTGTATAGCGATGAGTAATTCTTTTGCTTTATGAATTTATGGAAAACGTTCTTTGTATATCATTTTGCCTCTTGAGTTAAATTTCATTAATATTTATTAACTTGCAAATGAAAAAAAAATCCTGGGGATTTGTCCCTCGCTCTTTTCCATAGAATTGCAGTTTCAATTCACATAATTCTGTTATGTTGACGCATCATTATTGTCTTTGAATTTAACATAAAACGATTAAACTTTGTACTATATTAGAAGTCAACACCAAAAATCTTCAATTCTGCACAAATATAGGTCATCCTATCATTGTTTTATTTTGACTTTACGTTATGTTTCTGTACTGTTTCAAGTCAAGACCAAACTACTTCAAATTAACATCGTGTAGTTTCAAGTCAACACATTGTATGATAAGCCTCTCGTGACGTCATAATGATATAACATCGTGCTATCTTAGCTGAATAACACGTACTTTCAACTGTACGTCGTGTAGTTTTAAATGAGCATATCGTGTGGTAAGCCTATCGTGACATTCTAATGATATAACAACGTGCTCTCTTAGCTTAACATCACGTACTTTCAACTGTACGTTGTGTAGTTTTAAATGAGCAAATTGTATAATAAGCCTATTGTGACATTATAATGATATAACATCGTGCTATCGTAGCTTAACATTACAAAATTTCAACTGTACGTCGTGTAGTTTAAAGTGAGCATCTTAGCTTAACACGTTGCATCGTGTTGTTTTAAGTCAACAAATTGTATGGTAAGCCTTTCGTTTCAATATAGTGGTGTAGCATCGTGTTATCTTAACTTAACATCATGTACTTTCAACTGTGCATCATGGTGTTTTAAATCAACAGGTTGCATGATAGACCTATCGTAATATCACAATGATATAAAGTCAGCACCTTACATTTTAGCTATTCATTTTATTTGTTATCATAGCTATCGAAGTGGATGACTGAGCAGTATCCACCTGCAAGCTAACATCATGCAACGTCAACTTCACATCATGTACTTTAAACCCAACGTTACTCGTGTTTGGCATATCATCACAACATCGTGACTTATCATTATACTATCACGACTAAAGCACTTGTCATTGCAAGTCAACATTGCGCAGATTCAACTTAGCATATTGTAATTTAGAGTTAGCATTTTGATGACTCAATTCAACATCACGCTGTCTTAACTTTACATTTTAAGCTTCAGCATAACGTTTTGTAAATCTCTAACATATGACAGCTGAGGCTTTCCATATATTTGTGTTACCTGTAATTTAATTTCTTTAAACGAAACTGACACGTGCAGGGTTCGAACTCAACACCTCAGTGTTGACATGATAGTGATACAGTAGTTGAAAGTTGAACTACTTAGAACATATTGGTAATTGAGTTCGAGATTCAAACAAAATGGGAAGATGTCGTTCGTACAAAGTTCGGTTTTCTTTGGCGCTTTGTTTCTTTCATTATTTGATTTTTTTATATACCCAATTTAATGTCAAAGTTACAACAATGTTTAAGTAAGTAAGTAAGTCGGCATGCATATATGAACAATATGACACAATCATATCATGAGATCTGGTGAGCCCTTTAACCGACTAATATGTAAAAATCACACAATTTCATTAAAATAAATATGTAAATAGTAGAGGCCCAAGTGAGCCTGTATCGTTCACCTCAGTAAGAGTTAACATAAGTTTATATGACTCAGCTGAATTATAAAAAAATATTATTGTCAGCAAATAACTGTTGGAAGAGTTTCTCATACGAATATGTACGCTCAATGGTACGGATGGACAGGTCTTAACAATATGCCTGGTGAGCATTAGTTAGTGCCGTTGTACAAGAATTTGTATTACGACCCCCAACTAAGGCTGTTATAAGCACATCCATATATAATGATTGGTAAGTGTCCCAAGTATGATGGTAATTTTATGCAGACACAGAAGTTTGAACTTTGTCAAGATTTCAAAAGTTATTTTGTATAATGATTAAAAAAACTAAACTATAAGTAGCCAAGATATCGTTAATTGGACCAATAATTCTTACAAGGAGTCAACTGACAATTTTGGCAATGTTGAAAAGCAAATCATGTATTGCTGATCATATTTGCATTTATCATTGTTTTCAAAACTTTAGACAAAAAAGTAAAAAAAATGGCATTGAGGGCCAATAAAGAATGGACTTTTTAATATATCTGTTCTTGCTGATCATTTTTTTTTATTATATTACTTCTCTCTATCTATTATAATTTTCAAAATATTAAATAAAATGGAAAATAAGTGAATAAATCGTCATTTAAGGGCAATAACTCTATGAGGAGTCGACCAGCAATTCGGCTATTTGACATATTTGCAGATCATGTCTAGCTGATAATGTTTGCCATCGGAAATCTATTATTGATTAATAATAAGAAAAATGCCAACATTTGGTGAAAATTAGCATTGAGCAACATATCAAAGCAGCTTTAAAAAAAAATTTTTTTTTAATAACAGTTAACTCAGCCCCCCCCCCCCCCCCCCAAAAAAAAAAACAAAACAAAAAAAAACAACTTTTTGTCGAGAACACCATAATAAGTATATAAAGAAAAATCTGTGAATCTCAAAATTTTGTACGACAATTTGTACGTTTTGTTTTTTGAATTTGTGTATCGGTTGTATAAAATAGAAAATAGACAAAAAAAAGGAACAATAGTAATAATAATTAAAGAGAAGAAAAAAATAACGAAAGCATATAACACCAAAGCATATTTACCAACATACATACATATTCTCATACAATGTATATAGACACTAGAAATAAATATACACACGTGCACCCCACATACAGATATGAGTATATATATATATCAATATTGGTGCCCCTATCGTAACTGTAAAGAAACTCTCCCATTTTAGTGTCATTAAAACTCACAATTGAACATGCATTTATAGTCATTTACAATATGAGTTTGAAATATTATAGCAGTTCTGTCAGTTCTATTTATTGGGAATGTATTTCTGCGCAGTCTCTGTTGTAATTACGTAACTTCCATCACCTGTGAAATTTTAGAATTGTACCAATTTATAGTGTGCATCACTGTTCGTTTCAGATGCATATCTATGCAGTCTCTGCAGTTAACACTTATTAAGTAACCTCATTTTTGAAATTTTAGAAGTATACAAGCCTTGTTTGGTTTTTAATTGTATAACTATAAAGATTGTTTTAGTTAAATCAGGTTAGATTGATATGACTTATTTCACATCATCATAATCATACTGATGTAGGATATCAGTTATCCGAAATTTTTACAGCTTCTTACAATTATTATTTCCTTTTTTAATATTGTTTTTTTTTTGTACACTTTTCATATACTTATACATATACTTATGTATGATCTGCAATTACTAAAATGCACTTTCTAAAAGTACATTTATTCCAGTGACCATGTACATGTTATAGCTATTTACAGTCAAATTGCGGATTAAAAAGCTAAAACATGCACTGCTTTTAATTACACGTTAAATTTTAATCAGAATTTGTTTACAGCTCTTCGTCATCAATGAAAATAATTGTATTTGTATATGATACTAGTTGTTTGACTCGTTATTTCATAGGGCTAGAAAAAGGAAGAACTGATACTATAGCTGTGCGGCAGCACTGAGTAGAAGCGACATGAACTGCAATTACATTAACCTTCGCACAAGGAAGTAATATAATTCCTAAATAGACCAAAATATGTCATAATTTTTGGCCTCATTTGGAAATAAATGCCATGCGTGTGCTGAACTAGAAATTTAAATATCGTATTTGGTTAATTTATACCTACTTATTTCTTACCAAAATATCATTTTATCATTATGACGTTTCCACAGCATATTTTTAGCTTGTCATTCGTTATGTCAGAGAGACAAAAAGAGAACTGAAAAAAATAATCTAAATGTTAGCAGAAAAAAAACAAGTATCCTTATCCTTTCCTAAATTTTATATAAGGTGTTTTTTTGATACATTTTACATTTTTAGTGTTTTTTTTTCTTAAACAGGAAAATCAAAGATTAATGACATAAAGTTTATATCAGGGTTAAATGGTAATAACTTGATACTAAGTTCATTTATCTATCATTTACAGTACTTTGAATGCAAACAATTTAGTAACTATATAAAAATAAGGAGATGTGGTATGATTGCCAATAAGACAACTATCCACCAAAGTTCAAATGAAGTGGATGTTAGCAATTATAGTCAACCTTACAGCCTTCAAAAATGAGAAAACCAATACCGTAAGGTCGGCTATTAAGGGCCCTGGCATGAAAAATATGAAACAACTCAATCCAAACGAACGGCCTAATTTAAAACAAAACAATTTAAATATTGTTAACAGGTAATCCAGAAAAACCAGACAGTGAACCATCATATATACCATCAGCTGGAATAGAAGAAGGAAACAATGTTGTCTTTACATGTACGGGTAATGTTGGGAAACCACAAGGCAAATTCAGATGGGTGAGATACAGATATAACTCTAATGGTGATACTATACAGGAAACACCATACGAATCACAAAACACTACAGTTGTGCAGATGCCAGGAAACTGTTCATTTAATGGTACCAGTCAGCTGACACTGGAGATGGAACAACTAGATAATAATGCTGTAGTTAGATGCCAGGTTATTTATCAAAATGTTCCACAGGAGTTATACCAACAGACTAACCCCATAAAGGTTTATTGTAAGTTGTTAAAATAAAATGTGTTGATGCAGGGGTAAAATTCTGTCAATAAATGAGTAGAATTATAGACTGGATAAGTCTAGAATAATGACACAAGAGGAGGAAATGTAGAAGATTTGATTAATATTTAAATGTTGCAATATGGAAAATCAAGTCAAATGTGAATCATTAGTCTGAATGTTTCTGATGAGATAAAACTTCTGAACTCCCTTAGATAGACTACACTACTGAATGTAACTTTTTGGGATAATATAAAAATAAGAAGATGTGGTATGATTGCCAATGAGACAACTCTCCACAAGACCAAATGACACAAAAAATTAACAACTATAGGTCACCGTACGGCTTCAACAATGAGCAAAGCCCATACCGCATAGTCAGCTATAAAAGGCCACGAAATAACAAATGCAAAACAATTCAATTGAGAAACCTACCAACCTAATTTATGTCGTCATAATGATCGAAAAACACATATGTTACACAGCATGAAACGAAAACCACTGAATTACAGGCTCCTGACTTGGGAAAAGCACATAAATAATGTGGCGGGGTTAAACTAGTTTAAAGGCCAACCTTTCCCCTAAACCCGGTCAGTGATGTAACAGTACAACATAAAACAAACTATAAAAATCAGTTCAAAAAGGCTTAACTCATCAGATGAATACAAATAGAAATACATCTAACAAAAACACACAGTTGACGTGGACGGGTACTTAAACATCCAAACTTCAGAATGACAGTAAGTACAGATCTGAGAGTACTCGCAGTTAATGAGAGCTAGTTCAAAGCCAATAACAACTAATAAAAAAAATTATGCATCTAAGACTAAAATATAAATCATTACATATCCATCATCCAATGGATTAAGTATAAAGACGTCATAAATAGTTAGAGAAAAACACGACCTTGTGCAATGCCAAGATACAGGTATTGACAGATTGTAGAGCCATGAATGTGCATATTATGTATATTAAAATAATATTTAGTTTGATTTTCATTTACTGATAACAAAATCAATATTAATACAAATGAAAACAATATTCACAGGTCTAATTACAGTGTTGAATTGGTAAATAAAGGCAATAGTAGTACACCGCTGTTCAATAGTCATAAATCGATTTAACTGAAACAAATCCGGGTCACAAACCAAAACTGAGGGAAACACATCAACTATAGGAGGAAACAAAACGGAACAACAAAAACACTGAACTGCTATAAAAACAAACGCCAACATACATAAAAACGGACTATGTGGTTACAATTGCCATATTCCTGACTTAAGAAAAAAAAAACGGTGGGTTGAAAGTTTTAGAATAAGTTTATTTAAAGGATCGATAAGATCACGCGGATCGTTCCCAAATTTCGTGCTCCGTAAACAACATCTCCGTAAAAATGAGGATGTGCTTTACCGTTTGAAATACTGGTACAACCAAATTTAAAAACAAAATCTTTATACCTATGGAAGAATTTAGTAAAGATTTTAAGTAATTTGTAGTAACGAAATCCCTGACTTCATAATTTACCAGTAATACATAGATGATTAAGTTCATTGAAATCCAAAACAGACATGGGCATAGCGAACAAGTTGTCATATATAAACACCGTAAGTGGGTGCCAAAGGAACATCACCGTCCAAAAAAGGAAAATTAACAATAGGGAACGAAAAATCGTCCCTTTTGTCGTAAATTGTAGTTTAAAACTAAAATTTCTAAATCTAGGAAATGAAAGTTATTATCATTTATTTTTGAAGTAAGTTCCTTTGGATAAATTTTGGCAGTATATTTAGACAATTCTTGATTAATTAACGAAAAATTATAATCAAGATAACGGTTAGTGTTGATGGATTTATCAATTACATGCAATTTAGACTGGTCTTTAGTGAGTTTGATCATGAACTCTGATTCAATTGTATACAGGTATCATGCTTACAAGAAGTTTTTGCCATAAATACCGGTTTAGAGGTAAACAAATTTCCAGAGCCGGTAGGCGAGAGAAATTTGTTTACCTCGAAAACGGTATTTTGGCGAATACTCCTTGTAAGCATGATATAATTGTTAAATCCACCGAACGTTCTTTGTATCCATCTCAACGAAAAGTTTAGAGGTCTTCGAACGTCACGTTATTTTAAGACATGGTTTTCCCCATCTACCGTGGTATTTGCTAGCAAATACCCTGGCACATGGAATTCCCTACGACAAATACACTGGCAGAGAAAAGCAAATCTCAATATATAGAAAATGTGTGAAAATACCATTTCTCTCATCCAATCAAAGTAAAACATTATTACATAAGGTGGAATTAAATTGAATATATCAATTGAAATTGACAACTATACCACACCACCTAATGTTGATTTCAAACAAATTTAGTTGATAATAGCAGAGCAAATAGTCATGATAGTGTCTGTAAATATGTAAAATTACATTCTTGCGCATCGATTTCACAACCGTGCAGAAGTTGACGTATCGATGAGTCAACAATGGTATCGATGAGTCAACGATGGTTTTCATCATACCTCTCTCAGATAATGCAAAAGGTTAAGTTAGGAACAACTGAATCAGAATATAAAACTGTAACTTTTGGAGTTCTTCAAGGTTCTATACTTGGACCTTTATTGTTCCTTATTTAAATCAATGACTTACCATTAACCTTAGAATATACTGAATCTGATCTATATGCTGATGATACAACTTTGCATTTGTCATCTAAATCTATTGTAAATTGAGATCCAAATGGTGAAGTTGTAATCATCACTTCGTAAATATTACGGACGCCATCACGAGTTGGTTGACCGTTATGGAATATTCGTTATACAGATGATATCGGATATGTTCCTTATGTCGTAAATATATGTTTGCATAAAGATTTAGACAATGTTAATAAATGGTGTAAAGAAAATGATATGATGATAAATAGCAAGAAATCAAAATGTATGCTTGTTGGATCAGACAGAAAACTGGAATGCTGCAATGAATGTTTATGTGTTTTATCACAAGATAATATCACTTTAGATAATGTTGAAGTTGAAAAACTTCTTGGAATTCATAAGGATAAAAATCTATCATGGTCAAATCAAATTGATAAGATATGCGAAACTATTTCAACCAGAATATACCTGTTAAAAAGGTTGAAACGTTATTTACCATTAAATGGTCTTATTCTTTTTTACAATAGCTATATATTACCCATTATTGACAACTGTTGTACAGTATTGTGTTTTACCACAAAATGTAATCTGGAGAGGATACATAAGCTCCAAACACGTGCTGCAAGATTAGTTTTATCTGTTTCTTTTGATTTTCCATCAACATTAATGTTTAAAAAGCTTGCACGGATGACTATATTTACGAGGATACAATATTTTCAAGCTGGGTTAATGTTTGAATGTATGAATGGTCTGGCACCTGATTATCTATCTTTTAAATTTACTGCTTGTACTGATCTTTATAATTATTGTCTCAGGTCGACAACATCAAGACTTCTTCTTGTACCAAGACCTAATTCTGAATTTTTAAAAAGAACATTTAAATATTCTGGTCTTATTACCTGGAATAATTTACCAAATAATATTAAAGCAATAAGTAATTTAGATACATTTAAGATCAAATGTTTAAACTATTTCAAACACTATACAAGTGAGAGGTTTAGCGCTATAAAACCAGGTTCAATCCACCATTTTCTACATAAGAAAATGCCTGTACCAAATCAGGAATATGACAGTTGTTATCCATTCGTTTGATGTGTTTGAGCTTTTGATTTTGCCATTTGATTAGGACTTATATCTAGAAATTGAAGGGTCGGTTGAAAACACAACTTTACGACAAAAGAGATGATTTCAGCTTCCCAATTGTGACCTTTTCATTTTTAAACCAAGAGATCTAAATGGTGAAGTTGTAATCATCACTTCGTAAATATTACGGACGCCATCACGAGTTGGTTGACCGTTATGGAATATTCGTTGTACAGATGATATCGGATATGTTCCTTATGTCGTAACTACAATCCGCTTCCCTTTTCACGAATGTGACCTACCGAATTAGACTATTTAACGGCTTTGTAACAACATGATCAATACGATGGGTGCCACATAAGGAGCAGGATCTGCTTCCCCTTCCGGAGCACATGAAATCACCCCTAGTTTTTGGTCGGGTCCGTGTTGTTTTTGTACCCCTATTTGTGACATTTTGTTCATGCATCATTGTCAATATCATGGAAATTGCTGCGACTGTCGTACAAGTGAGAGGTTTAGCGCTATAAAATCAGGTTCAATCCACCAATTTCTACATTTGAAAATGCCTGTACCAAGTCAGGAATATAACAGTTGTCCATTCGTTTGATGTGTTTTATCATTTGATTTTGCCATTTGATTAGGGACTTTCCGTTTTTAATTTTCCTCGGAGTTCAGTATTTTTGTGATTTTACTTTTTTCTAACTGTACAGAATGAAGATGCCCAATTCTAATGTATTGTTTCTTCTTCTATTGAATGCATATGTACTTATTCAATATTTAAGCTGCTATATATAACTGTATTATGTATTTTATTTTGTTTGTATTTTTGTCTTTTCTATTTGTATTAATAGTTTTTGAAGACCTCATGGAAGATTAACATGTCATTGTTAAATGTGTTACCTTCGTTAAATAAAGAATTTTATTTATTATTATTATTATTATAACAAAACTTACTTCCAGTTCACACAAATTGATATTCGTCTGAGTTTAATTGAAGAAACACGAAACAAAAATTGATAAGGAACACGTAGGAAAGGTTTGTGTGGAAAAAGTGGAGTAAAGAAATTGTAAGTTGTTAGATAATTTAAATTAAACGATTTTAGTCTCTATTTATCTACTACAAAGAGCCTGAGGAATGCACGATTATTTAAGCTTCTTTTAAACACATATTGTCAGAATTGCACAAGTAAGTCATTTTTAACATATAGTGTTGTTAGAAATATACAACTCAATAAGTCTCCTGCAAACCCAAAATTTCCCAAAGAAGCAGTGCACATAACTCGTTAACAAGCAAGTCACGTATAACAATATTTCTATCATTTTTCTTTACAGATAGTGTAAGAAATGTTCAAGTAACAAAGTCTCCTATCATTCCAACATTTACTGAAGGAGCAGGACCCATTACTCTGACTTGTTCATCAGATGGAAATCCTATTATAATAAACACAGGTTATACGTGGTACAAAGAATTCAACACGAGTGTACCATTATGGACTGGTCCTACGTATGTCATTAATAATGTTGTGGTTGATAAAACAGATAACTACATATGTGTAGCACAGAACAGTTTTAATGGACGAACATTCAACATGAACAATTCTATACACATACAAATAGGTGAGTTTCAAAACACACACAGATATATTAATAATGCGGTTGTAAGTGAAACAGATAACTCTGTTCAATGTTCCTTTGGAATTTCAACCAAAGATGAAGAACTGGATCTTCCATCGCTGTATTGGATACCTAAACTACATAAGTGTCCTTACAAACAACGGTATATTGCTTGGTCTTCCAAGTGCTCCACGAAACCTCTTTCTAAATTATTAACATCTTTTTTATCAGCAATCAAAGCCGGGCTCCAAAGTTATTGTGAAACTGCCTATTCTAGAGGTGGCGTGAATCAGATGTGGATACTAAAAAATTCCAAAGATCTTTTAGAGTACATACAATCTAAGACTCTCTCATCTTGCAATAGTATTAAAACATTTGTTTTTTCTACACTTTACACAAGTATTCCCCATTCCAAACTAAAAGACAAATTGAAAGAGTTGGTATTACTTTGTTTCATTAAAAATAATGGCAAACGTAGATACAAGTATTTTGTCTTGGAGAGGGATAAATCCTACTTTGTAAAGAATCACTCTGATTCAAAAAAAAAATTCTCTGAAACTGACATTATCAAGATACTTGATTTCTTAATTGACAACATATTTGTTACGTTTGGAGGACGTGTTTTTCAACAAACTGTCGGAATTCCAATGGGAACCAATTGTGCCCTCTTCTTGCCGACTTGTTTCGTTATTATTATGTGGCTGACTTCATACAGGAACTTCTTAGGAAGAAAGATAAAAAGTTAGCAATGTCCTTTAACTTTACGTTTCACTATACAGATGATGTTCTCTCACTAAATAATACAAAATTTGGTGACTATGTTGAACGAATCTATCCCATTGAACTAGAGATAAAGGATACTACAGATACAGTTAAGTCAGCCTCATGTCTTGACTTACATCTAGAAATTGACAATGAGGGTCGGTTGAAAACAAAACTTTACGACAAAAGAGATGATTTCAGCTTCCTAATTGTGAACTCTCCATTTCTATATATCAACATTCCAGCAGCGCCTGCATACGGAGTATATATCTCCCAATTGATACGATATTCCCGGGCTTGTATTTCCCATCATGATTTCCTTGATAGAGAATTGCTGCGCACAAGGAAGCTATTAAACCAAGACTTCCGAATGGCGAAGTTGAAATCATCCCTTCGTAAATTTTACGGACGCCATCACGAGTTGGTTGACCGTTATGGAATAACTGTTTCACAGTTGATTTCAGATATGTTCCTTATGTCATAACTACAATACCCTTCCCTTTTCACGAATGACTGTGACCTACCGAACTAGACTTTTTACCGGATTTGTTATAACATAAGCAACACTAAGGGTGCCACATGTGGAGCAGGATCTGCTTACCCTTCCGAAGCAAATGAGATCACCCACAGTTATTGGTGGGGTTCGTGTTGCTTAGTCTTTAGTTTTCTTTGTTGTGTCATCTGTACTATTAATTGTATGTTTGTCTTTTTATTTTTGGCCATGGCGTTGTCAGTTTGTTTTCGATCTATGAGTTTGACTGTCCCTCTGGTATCTTTCGTCCCTCTTCTATATATGTGTGGCACAGAACAGTTTTGATGAACCAAAATCCAGCATGAACAGCTCAATACACATACAAAAATATAGGTATACATAATTACACAAACGACCACACCGTTCAATAACGGTAAATGAAAAAGACAACTATATGCGTATGGCACAGTACAGATTAAATGGACAGATATTCAACATGAAGAACTTTATACACATTCAAATAGGTACAAAATTTACTGCAAAAATGCAATCTTAAATGACCTTGAAGAGTACTGGTTATAATAAAGAATGAGACAAAAGTCAAATATATATTTAGGTGAATTATAGAATATACAATAAGTATGTAAGTATTGATTGATAGAGACATAAAACATAAATCACAAAATATTGGTAAAAACTTTTCAAAAAAATGAGAGTATATTGTTGCAACATATATTTTTACCCATCGAAATGTTACTGTTGTCAAGATAACCACTCTTCTCTTGGTCTCGAGCATACTCGATGATGGTATATATTTTCGAACACGTACGCACTATAATAACATTCATTTTAGCTAATAGTAAACGCGGATAAAACTCAATGAGTCCGTGTCTTGAGATTGTTGAGCTCTTTCTGTTCACCGAAAGCGCTAATTTACTTCTGGATTTACATTCATTAGATACATTTAAACCTAAACATTTGAAAGCAACACATGCAGTCATATATATAGTATGGCTAGAGAATACTCTTGAACTGGTCGTTTACAAATTTGGTAATATATCAGAAACGTGAGTCTATTTGATATGATATTAGTTAAAATACATGTTGTTTCAGTGAGCACATGTTTTGAATTTGTCGTCTCATTCGCAATCACACAACATCTCCTTTAACAACTATAACAGACTCTTTCTTGGGACACGTAAATAAATAATATGGTTGGATTAAATATAATTGTGAGTGTACAAAGAGAAGTGAAAGGTACCGAAGGGACATTCAAACTGATAAGTCGAAAATAATCTGACAACCCATTTACAAATTTCACCTAACACTGGACATTGATGTAACATTAACTAGTGAGAGACACAAAGTATTGCTCAAATAGTGCTCGCAGTTACTCACCACTTGTCAAAATCCCGATTTCCACAATTGAATAGCATGAATGATTCAAGCATTTTATTGTCATAAGAATCACTTTGCTACACAGTGTCTACCAGATTGCTTTTTTTTTCGTAGAATCAATTTCTCGTTTTATCAATCAAATCCCTATTTTTGTTGAAAGGGTTCGGATGTTTTTGCTTAAGATTTTGTGCTTTTTTGTGCTGTTAAATTCTTGAAATGTTTGCCACGGTCTTGACCAACTCTTATAATAAAAATTTTGTTTCATTTTAAACGAAAAAAACACTTCATAGATTTTGCGCGTCCGAAGCGCTTTTCTGGATTTACCTTTATCTGGAACGTTCAAATCCTGACATTTGAAAGCACTTTTTCATATGGTCATACAGTAGTGAAAAATGACTAAAGAATATATGTGTACTGGTTACACGTTTGAAAATATGTCAGAGACATTTACTAGTATGCTATAATATTACCAGCTTAATGTTTATCTTATTATGATAAATTTTAACAAGAGTAACAAGACCGGTATAACATGTTAAGCAGGAATTGCTGACACTCCCAGAGTTCACGGACACGGTTTGATTGGACTTTGTGTTGTGAAGTTTTAGGTTGTATGCGAAATGTCGTGTAATGATATATTATTTTCCGGTCGTTCGGTTTTTTTGGTTTTTTTTTGTCGTAGATAATGTGTTTCTTTCTTCGATCAATGATTTTGTCTCTTTTGTTCTTCATAATTTTGCATTTACCATTGTTGTATTTGGCAATTTTTTTGAACTTTGGGTCCTCAATGCTCTTCAATTTCGTAAGTTGTTTGGTCTTTATAATTATTTGATTCAAGCGTCACTGATTATTCTGTTTTAGACAAAACGGGAGTCTGGCGTAAAAAATTATGAGCCTGGTAATCTTGATGAGTTTTTATACCTAAAAAAACAGCACATAGTGTGTATATTTTGATACAATGTCAATAAATTTAACAAACAAGAAAATATGACTTTTTTAAACAACTAAATTATAAGAAATTACTCAAAGGTCCCTATTGAACGGCTGAATTTTGCAGTGCGAGTAGGGATTTTGTGTCATAAATGTAAATGACATTCCTTTTTTACGTGGTACTGTACAGGTAAAGATTCATATTGAATTATGACATATACTGATATTATATTTTTGTTATACCAATTTCATTTTTACTACAATTATAAAGATGAGATAAGTATTTTACAGCAGCAAATAAGATTTCATCATTCGTTAAATTTCCTCAACAGACTTTACCACTACAATTTATTCCACGACAATGACAAAGACAGAGACAGTTTTTACCACACCGTATAAATCCAGTACAAAGACAGAGACAATTTTTACCACACCAAATACATCCAGTACAAAGACAGAGATAGTTTTTACCACACCAAATACATCCAGTACAAAGACAGAGACAGTTTTTACCACACCAAATACATCCAGTTCAAAGACAGAGACAGTTTTTCCCACACCCAATACATCCAGTACAAAGACAGAGACAGTTTTTACCACACCAAATACATCCAGTTCAAAGATAGAGACATTTGATACCACACAAGATACATCCAGTAGAAAGACAGAGACAGTTTTTACCACACCAAATACATCCAGTACAAAGAGAGATCAAGGTACTCATTAAATGATTTCATTTCATCTGTAGAGCTATTTGGGCAGACGCCTGTTAGGAATCATCAATAACATTTAGCTTAGAATATATATATGAAAATAGTATGTAAGGATGACTGTTTAAATATTGTAAAACAATTTAAAGTATAAATAACCTTAAAATAATCAACCAGACAATATCTAAAAAAGAGCCAACATAGCTTAAATCATTAGTCGACCCTTTTAGCAGTTATTGCCATTAATTGACGATTTGTTTCCAATTTTTGAGGTTTCCATTTTATTCGGAAAACTACAATATAAAGATAGCTGGTTTAATTGGCAGCAAGACCAGATCTGCAAATATTTCACCATAGCGAAAATTGTCATTTGACTCCTTATGGGTGTTATTGCCATTAAATGACGTTGCTAGCAGTTTTTTTCCAATATTGACTATTATACTTAACAGATAGAGTGAACGTTTAAATTTTTAAATAGCAAACATGATATAGAAGACAAAATCTAGAAATAAGTCGGATTACCGAAACCGTTGTTTGACTCTTAATATGACATAATATCCTTAAATGCCATCTTTTTGTGTTTTTATCTATCATCTTTAAAATGATAATACATAGATAGAAACTTTAAAAGGCCAAAATAATCTGCTGGGTAAGATCTTCAAATACATCGACCGACGTTAAAATGTAATACTCAAATCATGATTAAGCTTCATATTACTATTATTGATGCTCAC